TATATATATTGGACCAACTGAAGGTGGCTAACATACTTAATACTCCAGCCTGCTATTTTTCCTACAATAACAATTTTCCCTGTGGGCTGAGAGAGAGTGACTGGCCCAAAATCACCCAGCTGGCTTTCATACATAAGGGAGGCCTAGAACTCTCAGTCTCCTGGTTTCTAGGCCAGCACCTTTTCCACTACACCAAAGTCTGCCTGTCTGTCTGTCTCTCTCTCTCTCTCTCTCTCAATCTCTCAATTTTGCAATCTCTTTCTCTTTCTCTCTCTCAATCTCACACACAGACATAAAGCTTACCTGAATCAAAGTGTTCACATTAGTTTTTTGGGGAATTAGAAAATAAAAGGTATTCTAATTATTTTAGTTTGGAGAATTAGCAGTCAGTTCTAAAATGGAAGTAATTAGCTCACGCAAAATAAATTTTAAAAACTCAAAATGCAGGTCTTTTTCTGGAAGATTCAGGGAAAGAATGGCGGAGCTTCTGAGCTTTGCAAGTGCTGTCAGTAGCTTGATTAGAAGTTGATAAAAATATGGTCTGATATTCTTTGACACAAAGAATGACAGAAATAATTTTTAGCCACATCCAGAAGAGCTTTAATTAAAATAAAAAAGAACATCCTGCTTATGAAAATGGGAGTTAAAATAAATGGAAGAAAAATGCTAAAAATGAAAAATCCATGACATTTTCAGGATTGCAGCATCAGCTCTGAGAGATTCAATTTCCTGGTTTGCTCATGCCCATGACTATTGATAAGCCAAATGATCCAGTTGCTTGCTGTTGGGATATATTTTCCAAGGCCTAAGTACTAAAGCTTTTACTTGTGCCTCTTGAGGGAAACATTAGCATGAATCGAGCGATCTGGTTAGATAAATGGATTCTTTATACACAGACATTTCAAGAAACCATGACATAGTAAGATATTATACAGCCATAGCTGATCTTTCTAATTTACAGGTAATCCTTGCTTAACAACTGTTCGTTTAACAAAGGTTCAAAGTTACAACAGCCTCAGAAAAGGTGCCTTACAACCTCTACTAGCGCTTACGACTGTCGCAAACCATCACACTACCCCCTGCAGTCATGTGATCGCAATTTGCGACCTTTTTAATGACTGTTGTTAAATGAATTACTGCAGTCATTAAACAAATCATGCACTCATTAACTGAATTCTGGCAAAAAAGTCCATTGGAGAAGCTGGATTCATTTAACAACCATGTGATTCACTTGCAAATGTTACGAATTCACTAGGGCTTCAGTCTCTCCCCTCCCTCATCCAATGCTCCAAGCTTACAACCAAATCTAAGTTTAGTGATTGTTTAGGATAGAACTGTATATGTTTATAAAATCCATACATCATCTTTCACTAGAATATTTTAAAATCTGGACTACAGAATGGGAAAAGTCTCTTGTAAATCCTTTGAGACAATTCCAGATAATTTATATTTGGGTTAATTTTACATGCTGTATAATCAACTTTTTTCCCTAACAGCCCAGAGCAGTTGATCTGAAGTATCTGATTAGGGAAAGATATGAATTAAAGATAATGCTTTAAAAAAAGATCTGCATTTGGAATTGAAACAAATTACTTTATCAAAAGTACTGATTTATTTTTGCTTGAACACTTGTTAATATTCAGAAAGAAAGACTAACTGTGGAAAATTCCTTTTCTTTGCTTACAGACATTGTTCAAATATTCTATCTATTGTGTTCCAGTATTGAGCCTTCTCTTATTTCCATTCATTTTTGAAAAAGTAACTTAAATCAAAATGATTTGGTGCAGAAATGTTATCTAAGATTTCCTTTTAATATTTTTCCCCAGTGGCCTCTTTGCTGGCAACTTCACAGAAATGCATTATTTGGAAGATGGTACTAGCGCTATTGTCATACGTAATTACACGGTAAGCTTTGTGAATTCCTGTGGTTGGAGGCGATATATGATATTTCATAATTAAAGAGACAAAAAGGGATCCGTGAAAATAAAATGGCTAGTCCATATTTGATTTTAGATCTTTGCTGCTGTAGTTTACTCACCCTTTTGTTCAAAATGCACATCTCTGGAAGGAAATGCTCCAATGGAACCACGATGTTAGGGTTTTAAATTGCTGTAAGTTTTGTGCACTTAATGCTCTTTGAAAATGTGTCTATTAGAGGTTTCAAACAAGCTAAGAACATCTATTGTTGCAAAGATGAGGTGTGAGAGCCAGGTTTCAAGATACGGAAGCTCTCAGAAAAAAGATCACAGAGCCTTCCTGGGCTCCTTCAGTACTGAAGCTAGAAGGCCCCCTTTATTTTTTTTCATTTTCATGGGATCAGTCCCTGAAAATATATTATAGATGATGGTGTGGAAGGAGAGTTGATAAAAGGATCCAAGCTTTGCCTGATATTTATTAACATCTTAACAAATATCTTCACAAAACATTTACATCCTCTTCTCAATAAAAATGTAGGGCTGCAATGACAATTTGTTTTTCTAGCTGTAAATAAGATTTCTTAATTAAAACAGCACAGTGGATGAACTTAATTATTACATTTGTCTTTTATGTGTTGATTAATTCCAACTGAACTGGCATTACAACATTAAAATTATATGTTTAAAAGAGCTGTTGAACTCAGTGCTTTTCATAATAGCCATGTGGATAGTAATAAATGAAGTTACATAATAACTTTTGTCTTATATTGGGGCTTTCAGTATGAGCAATTCTGGAATGTGTAACTAAGCTGAATATTATAATCAATAGTTTCACTAAAGTTCTTCCAGAGTTTTCCCTACAAATTTTAAGGTGAAGCAAGAAGCAGAAACTTCTATGGATGTAATTAGACAAAGTGGTGGAAAATGCAGTATTGTTTCTCATTCTCAGTATTGTGAGAGGGAAAAAATGCAAATAGATATATCTGTTTTTCCCAGCACTTCCTTTCTCATAATGAACATGCAGCTGGCAAAGGGAAGCCGCCCCAACATAATTCAGTATAATCTTTTAGCTGTATTCCCTGCAGTTGGTGTTCAAAGGCATAATATATAGTTAATGGGATTAGAAGGCTTTCTTCCATGAATTACCACTCAGCTTCTGAATGCAATTTAAAGTGCTGGTTTTCATCTTTAAAGCCCTTCCTGATTCAGTGTCTGGATATCTGTGGGATCTTTTCCCAATAACATCTGCTTGCATGATAAGATCTAACAGGGAGGACTTTACTAGATACCCCCTCGCTTAAGGAAGGCCACACTATTACACTATTTTGATTGGAAATAAAAACTAAAGTTAGGATATGCTCTGCAATAAGCATTAGTTCAATGCTACTTTAATCTCAAGGGTACCATGAAGCCCACAGAATTCCTATGCTACAACATAAATGTTTTGAAACATTGTCTGATGTAAGGATGGGGTAGATGAGGGCCAATAAACAACGACGGAATCTTGTCAAGGCAGAGATTTTATTTATTTATTTATTTATTTATTTATTTTATTTTATTTATTTATTACATTTCTCCCTGCCCATCTCCCCCCAGTGGGGGACTCTGGGCGGCTCTCACAAAACATTAAAACCATAAATATATGAAACATAAAAATTTAAACAAAACATTACTAAAAAAGGAGAAAGTCCAAGAAGATGATGGATCTGGGGCTGAAGACAGCAGGCCTCTATGAGGCTAGCCATCCCCACGCTTGATGTATTCCCTCCCCACCCCAGGCTAAGTGGCAGAACCAGGTCTTCAAAGCCCTTCGGAAGGCCAGGAGTGAGGGGGCCAATCACACCTCCAGAGGCAGCATATTCCAAAGAGTG